GTCTCCCAGTAGCTCCATGCTGTTTTAGGAGAGGCTCTCTACTGTGCAATTCTTGAGCAGGGGAGCACACTAGAGAAAACAAGCCAGGGTGCTAAGATGTGGGCAGTGTTTGTTTTGGGAGGTCAGGTTTACTGGCTGTATTAGCTGTGTTGTTTCAGTACCTGACAGGAAGCAGCTTAAGGGAGGGGGTTATTCTGGCTTGAAGTTGAGGTGCAGTTCATCATGGCAGGGAAGGTAGAACAAGCTGAAGGGATGTGAGGTGGCTGTTCACATGGCATCCCCAGTCAAGAAGCAGAGAGACGAAAGCTGGTGCACAGCTGGACTTCTCCTTTCATCCCTTTTATTTAGTCTGGGATCCCATCTATAGGGTGATGCCACCCACATTTAGAGTGGGTCTTCTCAGCTAAACCATCTGGAAAATGCCCTAGGGACATGCTGACAATGAAGATTGTCTTAGTGTTTCTGTTGCTGTTTTAACGCAATGTAACCTGGGGGCTGGAGAGATGCCTCAGAGGTTAAACATTGGCTGCTCTTCCAGAGGTCAGGTGTTCAGTTCCCAGCAACCACATAGCGCCTCACAACCATCTGTAATGAGATCTAGTGCCCCTCTTCTGGCCTGCAGTAATACATGTAGGACAGAACACTACATACATAATAAATATATCTAAAAAAAAAAAATTGAAAAAAAATAAAGCAGTGTAACCAGCAGGGTGTGGTGGCACACACCTTTAATCCCAGCACTCAGGAGGTAGAGGCAGCCTAATCTCTGTGAGTTCGAGACTAGCCTGGTCTACAGAGTGAGTTCCCAGACAGCTGTTACACAGAGAAACCCTGTCAAACAAAAAAGTACCTTGACCAAAAGCAACTTTGGAGAGGAAAGGTTTTATTTCAGTTTACAACTCTCATGTTATAGTCCATCAGTCACTGAGGGAAGTCAGGGCAAGAACTGCAGCAGAGAGGCCATGGTGGAGTGCTGATTACTGGTTTGTTCTTATGGCTTGTTTCCTTCCTTCCTTCCTTCCTGCCTTCCTTCCTTCCTTCCTTCCTTTCTTACTGGTTTGTTCTTATGGCTTGTTTCCTTCCTTCCTTCCTTCCTTCCTTCCTTCCTTCCTTCCTTCCTTCCTTTTTTGTTTTTTGAGACTAGGTTTCTCTGTGTAGCCATGGCTGTCTTAGAACTCACAGAGACCAGCCTGCCTCTGTCTCCCGAGTACTGGGATTAAAGGCATGTGCTACCACTGCTCGTCCAGCTTGTTTCTTATAGAACCCAGGACCACCTGTCCAGGGTTAGCACTGCCCACGGTGAGCTGGGCCCTCCTATATCAATTGTCAATCAAGAAAATACAACACAACCTTGCCCATAGGCCAGTCTGGTGGAACATTTTCTCAGTTAAGGCCCCTCTTCCCAAATGGCGCTAGTTTTTGTTTACTTTGCAATAAAATTAGGCACAGAGATGAAGTACAACATTGCATTTCTATTCTCTCCTGTTCATACGTCTGTGTTGTTCAGTGAAAGGCTTCAGTCATACCTGCTTTAACAAAGATTGGGGCTGGCCTTTGCCTATCTGGTGGCCCCTCCTGGATAGGCTGGCTGACGTAACAGAACTGTTCATGACACTGCCTTGTCAGCCAAGTGTGATTCCCTCTCTGAAGGGAAGGTTGCTCCCTGACCATCCCTTATATTGAGGACAGTTGGGAATGAGGGTGACAGCTAGGCCAGCCTAGGGGGGCTACCTTCCACAGCAACTGAGATTTCCTTCTGTGGCTCCAACCGGGCCGCCAGTCACTGATGTGGTTCTTCTGTCTCACCTTCACAGGCCATTGAGAAGCTGGTGGCTCTTCTTAATACGCTGGATAGGTGGATTGATGAAACCCCGCCGGTAGACCAGCCTTCCCGGTTTGGGAACAAGGCCTATAGGACCTGGTATGCCAAACTTGATCAGGTGAGACTGTCAGAGCACAGGCTGGGCCAGGCCAGTGGGAGGACTACTATGGCTCCATATGGGTCAAGGTCTGTGTTCAAAGCAAGCCTGTCTAGCTCCCAAGCATAAAATCGGGTAATTTGTTAGAATGGCAGTTTTATTTACCTAAATTACAAAATCATCCTCTGTCCCAGCCTGTCTTCTGGGAACTGCAGGTGTGGCTACACCTGTATGAGGCTGCTTATTAAGTCATTTTATTAGCAGCAGATTGGAAATGACTCAGGTATACATCATAAGAGGACAGGTTAACTATACTAGACCGTCCATACTGTAAAGTACTGTGCAGCTCTGAAAAGGAATAAGGAAGCCAGGTGGTAGTAACACACACCTTTAATTCCATTACTTGGAAGGCAGAGGCAATTGGAAAAAACTCCCTACCAAAAGAAAAAGGAAAAGTTGGGCAGGGGCATACACCCTTGAATCTTGGGTGGCAGAAGCAAGTGGATTCTGTAAATTTGAGACCAGCCTGATCTATACAAGTTCCAAGCCAGCCACAGTTACATAGTGAGACCCTATCTTTAAAAAACCAAAACAAAGCCGGGTGGTGATGGTGCAGGCCTTTAATCCTAGCACTGGGGAGGCAGAGGCAGGCAGATCTCTGAGTTCGAGGCCAGCCTGGTCTACAGAGCGAGCTCCAGGACAGGCTCCGAAGCTCCAGAGAAACCTGTCTCAAACCCTGTCCCCCCAAAACAAAACAAAACAAAACTTAGCTTCTTACATCTGGAATTTACACGTGATCTTCTAGGGTCCAAAGGGTTTGGGCATCCTTGTGTCTCCAACTCTTCTGTCTGCAGCACACATAGCTTGTCTTGTATGTAGGCTCAAGTTGGCTCTACTCCACTCCTTGCACCTTGCTTGCACTTGCACTGTCCTGTGGTTTCCACTGCAATGAAGGCTGCACCATCACTAACAGCCCCCACACTCCAGCCTTGTCTTAGGGACTCTGACCTTGATGTCAAGCCTCAGTTTCTCTCTTCTATGACTTCTCATACCTTCAAAATCATTCCAGGTGGAGACTTTTACACATTACTCAGCTCAGCTTCCAGCTAGAGATGCAGCCTTGCCCAGACCACAGCTTGTCTACACAGTTTGTCTGGTGAAGTATTTCCCAGAACAGTTCTCAATGATGCTGATCTCATATCAACCACAATCAATTTTTCAGCACCGGATGACCAGAAACCATCACATGAATAGCCTCTGTAGAATCTGCTTCTTTGTGAAACTTCACAAGCCGGGCTTCCACTGTCTGCATTTTTCTCAACATTCTTCCTACAGAACAGCCTATTAAGCTCTGAGGACTCGATGTCTTTTCCAGCTCAATGTTCCTAACACTTCCACAGTCTTCCAATAAAACATGGTCATTTCCATTGATTCAACATCCATTCCTGGTACCAGTTTCTGTTCTTTTGGTCATGGTGTATATTGACAGTAACAGAGAAGAAGCAAACTGAAATAATTGGAAATTGTTTTAATCCAAAGCCAGAATTCATTCTCCTTTTTTTTTTTTAAATGAAATTCAGGTTGATAACTCAAATTGCAGTTTTTGTTTTTTATTTTATTTATTTTTTTGTTTTTTGTTTTTTCAAGACAGGGTTTCTCTGTGGCTTTGGAGGCTGTCCTGGAAATAGCTCTTGTAGACCAGGCTGGTCTCGAACTCACAGAGTTCGAGTTGTCCTGTCACTGCCTCCCGAGTGCTGGGATTAAAGGTGTGCGCCACCAATGCCCAGCTAAATTGCAGTTTTTAAAATCAGGTATTCTCTGTGGCTGGAGAGATGGTTCTGCATTAAGAGCATGTTGTTAACTATTTTTGAGACAGAGCCTTTCTAGTTAATCTGGGCTGTCCTGGAACTTGCTTTGTAGCAGGCTGGCCTCAAACTCAAACAGATCCTCCTTTGTCTGCCTACTGAGCGCTGGGATTAAAGGCTACTGTTGCAGAGAACCTGTGTTCAGTTCCCTAGCACCTACACTGGGTTGTTGTGGGAATTTATTCTGCCAAAAACTTTGGAGTAGCAGCCTTAGGGCATGGCTTCTTGTCTGTAGATGTTATCTCTCTGTCTCTCTCTCTCTCTCTCTCTCTCTCTCTCTCTCTCTCTCTCTCTCTCTCTCTTTGGTTTTTCGAGACAGGGTTTCTCTGTGTAGCTTTGGATCCTATCCTGGCTTTCAATGTTATCTCTTAAAAGGAGAGAGATAGGAGTTCTCTCTTGAGTTGAGAATACTGGGTCAGGCAGCTTGAAGCAGCATGTGGCCAGTTCCTGTTTCCCTTGGGGAGAAGGACTTTGCAACTGGTTATCCTTGTTCTGTATCCATGAGTCTGTTTTCCCCATAGCATATCTCTCTCTGTCTCTGTCTCTGTCTCTGTCTGTCTCTCTATATACATACATACATACATACATACATGCCACAGAGAAACCCTGCCTCGACTGTTTGGGAAGTGGAAGATGCATTCCCCAGAGTCTGTAGAAAGGTTCCCTCCAAAGAGGTGTAACACTGGGTTGCTCACGACTACCAGCAACTGCAGTTTTAGTGTATCCAACTCCCCCTTCTGGACTCCAAGGGCACTGCATGCATGTGATATCCATAAATGCACTCAAGGCAAACACACACAGTGCAATCTAGAGATACATTAACTTGATTTATGCTGAGGAGTGACAACAGGGACATTAGAGGTCTTTATTTTCTGTAGTTTTCTTTGATTTTGATTTTGTTTTTGTTTTTTTTTTTGTGTGTGTGTGTGTAATGCTGGCTATCCTAGAACTCACTTTGTAGACCAGGCTGGCCTTGAATTCCCAGAGATCTGCCTGCCTCTGCCTCTCCAGTGCTGGGATTAAAGGTGTGCATTGCCTCCACCTGGCAAGCCATTATATTTCTATTAGAGAACACTGTGCAGAGAAAGCTCTGCAGTTGCCAGCATGTGAGCCTGGGTGTGTCAGTCAGGGCTCATTGGTATTGTGTGGTGTGGTGGCATGCATGACAGCACTCACAGTGCCCAGGTGCATGCCGTGTGCTCAGAACCAAGGCCGAAGTGGCGTGTGTTGCAGCAGAGGAGAGCATTGCCAACAACACCTTAGACTCAAAAATGCAGTTGATCTTTATTTTTATTTTTTATTTTTCCTCCGAGACCGGGTTTCTCTGTGTAGCTTTGGAGCCTATCCTGGCACTCACTCTGGAGACCAGGCTGGCCTCGAACTCAGATCCGCCTGCCTCTGCCTCCTGAGTGCTGGGATTAAAAGCGTGCTCCACCAACACCCGGCCTGCAGTTGATTTTTTATTAACTCTGACTGTTGATGCTGTTGCCACCCTGACATTCAGCTACCTCTACCCACAGTTTCAGGAGCTGGGTTTTCAGCTTGTCTGGGTTACAGACTCAGATGAGCAGACAAAGAGCCTGAGCCCACTGTATTGATGTACAGATCTTGTTTCCTTTGAGTTGGGAATGGGAGGAATGGAAGTTAGAAATGCATGTTTGTGCTGCTCATATTTGCAGAAGAAACACCCAGTAAAGTCCAGGAAGGTCATTAAGCTCTCTGTACTGTGCCATACCCCGGCTGTGGATTTTGAGGACAGTGGAGAATGGGGTGGACGGAGACTCCCGTGCCACCTCTGACTCTGGTGGTATGTGGGCTTGATTTTTTCAGAAGATATACATGAACTTAGAAGAAAGTTGACGATAGCTTTACAGCTGGGTGTATCTTTTGTAGTATTTGTATTTGTATTTTTGTAGTGCACCCACCACCAAGTCACATTACAGAACATTCCAGCTCTGTGGCAGGAACTTTTAGACTTGAGAGAGTTGATATCCCCCAGACTCTCTTGATTACTAATCCATACATGGATTTTATTTGCATGTTTTTGAATTTCATGTTTTTGTAGCCTCCTTTACTTGATGTTCATCACGTTGTCACTTGCGGCATATCTTAATTCCTCTATCGTGTAGTATTCTGTTGCAGAAAATGTACAGTTTTACTCATTCTGTTATTTTGGGACATTCTAGTTGATTTTTTGTTTTGTTTTTTTGTTTGTTTTCTGAGACAGGGTTTCTCTGTATAGCCCTGGCTGTCCTGGAACTCACTCTGTAGAGGCTGTCCTTGAACTCACAGAGATCCGCCTGCCTTTGCCTCCAGAGTGTTGGGATTAAAGGCACCAACTGGCATCTAGTTGAATATTTATGTTTTGGCTACTTTAAATAATGCTGTTGGAATCATTTCATTTGTCTGTCATGGCAGACTTGTGGCCTGCACTCTTACTGCTCTGGGGATGGAACCTACAACTATGGGAACAACAGGCCTGATGTCCCATAACCTCTGCTGGCCTTTGATGGGCTACCACATGGGAGGTACCACATGGGCCTTTGGGTTACCACATGCTCCCAGAGTCATACCAGGTGTCTCTTTGTTATTTCCCCTCCCCTTTTCTGTGGCTAGTCAGAACTGGGAAGCAGGCCAGGCTGGCAGCCTGGACCTCAGGCAGATGCTGCCCCAGGGTGCCTGCTCCCTCCGATGCTGCATAATCTGCTGCCACCACTGTGTGTCTCTTATGTTATCAGGAAGCAGAGAATTTGGTGGCCACAGTGGTCCCCACCCACCTGGCGGCTGCTGTACCTGAAGTGGCGGTTTACTTGAAGGAGGCTGTTGGGAACTCCACACGCATTGACTATGGCACAGGTATCTGCTGCTGCAGGGCTTTGGGTGACTCGGGCCTTGCTTGCTGCTTTTTTTATGTTGCCTGGGCTGCTTTCTTCATGCTCCCCACTCCCTGTGTGCCCCCTATCCATTCAGCCGACCAGCAGAGTGTTTGTGTGTGTGGGGGGAAAGGGGGTGGCTCTATGCTCTATTTTCTTCCAGCAGGTGGCGCTGCTGCCACAGGCATGGCACCTGCTGAAAGTTGGTTTCAGTTCCTTAGTTGTTTGTAAAGCTGGCTTCTGATTAAGTGCTGCATCATCACTCTAGTGTTAGTTTATTGAGCATTTACTCAAGGCAGCTGCCTATAGCGGCTGAGAAAAGAAAGACAGTTGGTAGTCCACCCTCTCCCTGTCACTCTTGTCTCTTAGCCCTTTTCTTTATGCCTATGATCTTCGGCTCTGCCATCCATTTCAGTCACGCTGTGGTGGGTACCTAAGGAGAAGTGTTCTCTAGGTCAGAGATGGCCTCTATAGCCCAGGAGACCCTGCTGTGGCAAGAGCTTCCTTTCCTCCTATTTTTCTTGGGGAAGGAGGGCCAGAGGGAGCCTGGTTCCAGACCAGGCCCCGGAGAAGGCTTCGCTGGAGCCAGAACCTGAGACAACTTTGTCCATTGCTCTCTCTGCTGGGAACAGTTTCGAGACTCTGGATGTGGACCCAAGTAGGAGGAGGCAGAGGCAAGGTGGATCTCTGTGAGTTCAAGGCCAGCCTGGTCTATAGAGCGAGTTCCAGGACAGCCAGAGGTATACAGAGAAACCCTGTTTCAACCTCCACCCGTCCTCTAAAGACCCAACTAGGAAAAAAAAAAACCCAACCCCCCAAAACAGGGTTTCTCTGTATAGCCCTGGCTGTTCTAGAACTCCCTCTGTAGACCAGGCTGACCTCTAACTCACAGAGATCCACCTGCCTCTGTCTCCCGAGTGCTGGGTTTAAAGGCGTACACGACCAATGCCCGGCAAGGAAAAGATTCCTAGGGCAGTGGGGTCATTAAAACATTTACAGGTGAAAGCAACTGAGTGTATGTGCTTCCAGAGTCTGTAGGCTATCTGCTCTGTAGAAATAGCCTGACACACCTGACTTCACCTTCTTCCAGATAAGGAACGGGGTCCAAGGTCCAGCCAGTGCCTTCTGCAGAGCTGACTGTTTCTGGTGGATGTGACAGGGAGAGAAACGAGGGTCCCTTAGCTTTGTAATTTGTGCACATGTTCCCAGTGCTCTTGAGACTGTGTCCATGTTTCTTACCATGGCTCTTCAGGCCACCTCTGCTCAAGACACACTGCTTACCTGCTTTGGGCCTTTGTGTGTGCTTTTGCTTCTGCCTATTTCCTACTGTCCTTTTTTCTGGCCTTTACCCATTCCTCTGTTGTCTTAAACATTTCCTTAGGGGAAAACCTTGAACTCTGAAATCAGGGTTCCCCTGAGATGTGACTCAGGTACTCACCTGTATCCCGCATAGCTAGATTCACAGTAATAACTGTGTATTTAATATCTGTGGCTTCTGACAGATCATGAGCTCTTTGAGGCAAGGACTCCTTTGTTACTGGGAGCCAGCATGGACAGTGACTGCCCACATAGTAGGTGCTCAATAAGCTGGAGTTGCTAAGGTGTCAAACATATAAAGTAAAATGCAAGTGCCTATGCAGGAAGTTGACCTCAAGGCCCGTCGGGAAGTGTTCCAGTGCTTGTGGTTGCTGAAAGGCCCGGGTCTTCTGGACAGGGAAGAAGCCTCATCTCAGTATGGGCCTTCTTCCTCAAAAGAGCTGAATGCTGGGGACTTCTTCTGGAGGTGTCAGCTTGAGCTGTTTTTCTTCACCAGGGCATGAGGCTGCCTTTGCTGCTTTCCTCTGTTGTCTCTGCAAGATCGGGGTGCTCCGGGTAGATGACCAGGTGGCGATTGTCTTCAAGGTGTTTGATAGGTAAGAGTTTGATAGGTGCTGGGGGGCGGGCAGGGATGGTGGGTCATACAACTCAGTTAATTCCCTATGCCTCCCTCTTATAGAAGAGGAAATAAACAGGTTTCTGCTGAGATCACAGTCTACCAAGATAGGAGGCAGATTCTTCTGGGCAGCACAAGTGTGTGGTGTAGTTTGAATTTTCTTTGGGCTGCCAAGCAGCTCCTAAATAAAGACACAGAGACTTAGTATTATGAATGCTCAGCCTTAGCTTAGGCTTGTCCTACTAGCTCTTATAACTTAATTTAACCTGTTTCTCTTTATCTATGTTTTGCCTCGGGGCTTTTTACCTTTCTTTCATTTTATTATTTATTTATTTATTTATTGGTTTTTCGAGACAGGGTTTCTCTGTGTAGCTTTGGAGCCTATCCTGGCACTTGCTCTGGAGACCAGGCTGGCCTTGAACTCACAGAAATCCGCCTGCCTCTGCCTCCTGAGTACTGGAATTAAAGGCGTGCGCCACCAAGCCCGGCTTCTTTCATTTTATATGTCTTACTTTCCTGCTTCCTCCTCGTCTGGCTGACTGGCCCTTTGTGTCTTCTTTCTTCCTGAGCCTACTGCCTCTCACTTACTCTCCCTGCCCCAAAGTCCTGCCTATACCTCCTCCCTCATTATTGATTGGTCAGCTTTTCATTAAACTAGTCAGGTGTTTTAGGCAGGCAAGGTAAAACAACAACACATCTTCACATAAACAAATGCAACACACTTTGCATAGTTAAACAGATATTTTTCAACATAAACAAATGCAACACATCTTTGCACGGTTAAACAAATACTCTGCAAGAATGCAAAAACCTGCTCTGAGCTGCAGTAGTCCCAGGGGCACACTGGCATACTGGTGTTGAGGCACAGGACAGCTCTGCAGGTGACCCAGGCACACAGTCTGATGTCTGACTTCTTGGATTTCACCCACTTTCCAGTGGTACCTGAGGTTAGAGAGAGGGACTCCTGCCTTATTACAAGTTGCCAGGGTTGATGACACTGAGCCTGGTTTCTGGTGGGTGGTGTTTTCTTTCTTTTCCCTGACAGAAGATGTATGAGGGAAAGAGAAAAAATCCCACTGGCTCTTTCAGCTTCACTATTCTCCCTACCCTTCCTATGCTGAAGATCACCATTTGTTACCTTCTTACCTTTCTCCTCCCCCCCAACCCCTGGTCACAGGTACCTTGAGGTCATGCGGAAGTTGCAGAAGACGTACAGAATGGAACCTGCGGGCAGCCAGGGCGTGTGGGGTCTGGATGACTTCCAGTTCCTGCCCTTCATCTGGGGCAGCTCACAGCTCATAGGTACTAGGTGGTCGTGTCTCTACCTTGAATCCCCAAATCCCTCCTTTTTCCTCCCTCCTGCCCAGGGCACACAATGATAGCTTGTAGAGTAGGACATCAGACCAGCTATTGATGGAGGCTGGTTGCTGTTGACTTAATGCTTTCAGCCAGTGTGGCCATCTGGAGGAGATGAAGGTGGAATGCCACCAAAATAACCGGTAGTGACATGGACTGAACCTGGGGCATGTGCCTGGTACATAATGGACTGGTGTGAATGCATGCAGCTTCTGGCAACAACAGCTGTGGGGTTTAAATTGAAAATTAGTGACTCTTTTTATTGGGCAATCATTGGTGTCACCCACTGTTGTTATTGAACTCTGTGCAGGGGGTGTATGGGGAGTTGCTGCCAAATGCTGTTTCCTGTGCTTCCCAGGTCTGCTCTGCCATGCTTCTCACTTTGTCCAGGCATGGTCAGCATGGAATCTGCCATTTGGCAGGATTAGCAATCATCTTTAGTTCCATAGAGAATGAACTGCTACTTATTAATATTCACAAATGCCTAATGGCTGACAATTTGCCATTCTAGATACCTCCACCAGCCATCTCAGGGACTCCAGCATCTGGTGGGGTAGAGGGGGATGTTGTTGCATAGATGCAGAGCCTGGAAGGCTGGAGTCAACCATCCAAGGGCTCACTGCCACATGCTGAGTTGAGTTTGGATTGCTAGGACACAGTCCTGCACACCTGTGTATAGCTGCATGCTCATTGCGAGAGCACTGTAGTGTGTGCTTCTCACACCATGGTGTCTTCTTGACCTAATAAGTGTGTACAGTTAACTCCAGTAGGTACACTTTTTTTTTCTGGCTGGTTTGGAACTCAACCGGTCTCTGAGTACTGGGACTAAAGGTGTATACTACCACACCCAGCTGAGGTAATTTTTGGTAGATGTACATTCTAATGGTGCTTAAAAATCAGGGACCGGTGCTGACAACCAAGAACAGAATTGCTGTCATAGTTAAGTAGGTACACAGTACTCCACTCAGCTGTGTCTCTTCCGTCTGCTGATTGGTAACAGTGGGTTTGTGTGCACCAGCATCACCACAGGCACAGGCATGGTGGCTGGCTGTGCACAGTGGGCACCTTATTAGGTGGCAGGGATTTCTCAGTCCCATTATGATCTTTATACACTAGACAAGCACTCTACCACAGCCCTGCCCCAGCACACCATCACAGAGGTTATAAAATATCTGTGGTGGATCAGGGCTGTTCTAAAGGCCAGGCCTCTGCTCTCCCTAGACCACCCCCACCTGGAGCCCAGACACTTTGTGGATGAGAAGGCAGTGAGTGAGAACCACAAGGACTACATGTTCCTTCAGTGCATCCTGTTCATCACTGAGGTGAGAACCATAGCAGCCTCTGTTAGCCAGGCTACCAGGGCCTGCTTGCCCAGCCATCAGCCTTCTCCCAGACCTGGGAGGATTCTTTGATTGTTTGGTTTGAGTTGGAGCCTCACTCTGCTGCCCAAGCTGGCCTTAAATTCATGACAATCTTCCTGCCTCAATCTACTGACGGCTTGGGATTTATAAAATAAGCAGCCACACTCGCTCCTACAGGGCCCCTGAACTAATGGATTAAGTTGCAGTTATTAGCTAGACTTGGTGGCCCGCAGCAGGTCTGAAAGGATGGCAGGTGTTGTGGTGGGGCAGTGGTGGGGGCAACACCATCCATCAGGGCTCAGGGATGAGGTCTGTAGAGCCATGTGCTATAGATCCAGGCTGGAATCCCTAGAGGAGCTGGAGTGATGGGAGTAGTTGTCTGTCTGTCTTTGTCTGTGCTTCAGCAATGTGCTAGAGGTGAAAACAAGCAGCCTGTGGTGACAGTCACTGGGCCCTGTACTACCCGTCTCACTGAGGCAGGATTCCCTATAGTGTGGTGCTGGAACATTCCCCAAGGTGGCCCTAGGACACTGAAAATTCATGGCCTTGGGCTCTTGCCAGCTTTCTCACTTAGAATCTTACAGACATGAGCCAGGAGCTCATCAAGGAGCCCACAGTCTCAGGGCCTTGTTTCTAGGAGATGTTGGACTGTTTCATTCTCCCACCTATACCTGGAAACTCTCTCACCCCAAATTTACAAAGTCCTGTCTTCCTTCTCTTCCTATGGCCATCTGCATGTCTGCTCTGTGGAAATACACATGGACTCCTGCCCATGGATACTCTCAGCTTCCTGTTCCGAGCCTCTGAGTAGGGAAGAGCCTGGTTAGCAGCCTTGACTCTTAAGTGCCTTCTGGTCAGCATTCACCTCAGGCTTCAGCCAAGCTCCAGGGGCCAGAGGGGAATGACACATTTTTTCCAAGTCAGCAAATGGAGCCAGGACTGATGGCTGGGAGGCCACTACTTGGTTCTTGGAGATATGCTGCCTTCAGCAGTGTGGCAGGCTCAAGGTCAGAAGGACTTGGGGGCAGCCTGGCTCACTGCCTTGAAAGCCAGCTTTAGAGGGCTCTTTCAGAGTGGAGTGCTGGGCTGGGGAACTCTAGGATGAGGTGAAGAATTGGATGGGATGGGTCCACACATTCTGCAAAGCTTGCTGCTTGAGGCCAAAAGCCTGTTCTGCTTCCACTGGCGGTCTGCCAAGCCCCTTGCATCCTTGTCAATAATTCTAACAAGGAGGCTAGCTGGGCTGGGCTTCAGAGACTGGGAATCAATCTCATGCTAAGACTTAGCATGTTTGTTTCTGCTGGCATAAAACCCCAAAAGCTTTCCCAAAGTTTGGGACACAGTACCCCATAGAAGATAGCCCAAGGTAGCCACAAGGTGGCGCTAAAAGTACATTGAGCTCAGTCAGCTTCAGTAACAGAGGCAGGAAGTGGGAGGGGTGGCTTTTTGGCTGCTGTGCACCTTCTCTACAAGGCTTGGTTTTCTCTTCATTCCAGCGTCAAACTCTGGTTGGTTGCTAGGCACTGTGGTAGCAAAGGGCCCTTTTGCCTGCCTGGATTGAATGGTTGCTGTTGCAGCGCTCTGTTGTTTAGCACATCACCCCCCCCCCCAGCCTCCCATGCACTTCAGAGGGGTGAGCAGCATTTTATGACCTCTGATCAGTAAGTGAGTAGCTTGGTTAGGATCACCCAGACCTGGGGCACAGCAACCTGGAGGTCTAAGAGGTGTTCAGGGCTCTGTTGCCTCTGGAGATCTGAAATCCCTACTGGTTAGACATACCCAAGGAAGTTGGGAAGGAAACCACTCCCCTTTGCTGGGTCTTGTGTTAGGATTGCTTTGCTAGCCCTGGGCATAGCAGCTGAGGAAGCCCACCTTGCAGGGCTCCTACTGCTTCAGGAAATGCAGCCCTGGCGCCTTTAAGAGCCCAGGGCAGGCAGGAAAAGAATTTCAGTTTCAATCTGGCTTCTAAATTTGGAGTTTTGGGAAGGGAGGGATCAGATTTCAGCTGGAAGGGAAGGAGCTGACAGGAAGGCGCTGTGCTGAGCCTCCCCCACCCCCGCCCATCCCCCTCAGTTACTGACAGAGGAACCATTTACAAAAGGCCGATTCTCTGGGGAGTGGAGAGGCAGGAACGCAGCGCCTGTGAGTAATTTCCTGCTCAATATGGCTGCTCTGACTCACACGATTCCCCTGGGGTCACTGCGGGACTGCAGTTGCTTGCTTGTTCTCTCTCTTTCTCTTCTCCCTTTGTGGCTAGAATGAGCTAATTTTTTTTTTTTGTCTTCTCACCCCCAATTCCTTTTTCCCCCTCATCTGTTTTTTCTTTCTCTGAGTTGCAGAGCCTCCTTTTGAAGGACTTGGGAGACCTGAGGCACTGAAGGCCTGGGGGTGGGGTAGCCTCTCTAGAGACATACTGGGCCTCACAACTCTGCAGCCTGCCAGACAGCCCTTTCTGAATGTCCCTTGCTAGTGAGCTAGGCAAAGTCTTAGTGTCCCTCTGTGTGTCTTTGCCCCAGAGTCCTTGCTGAGGAGGTCCTTGAGCACCTGCTAGGAGACAAAGCAGTTGGCAGTTGGCTCAGAGGGTCTGCAGGGGACCCTGGTGCACAGCTCCAGCAGTCTCATGCCTCTGGCCTGCAAGTGTTTGAGACAAGGGTGGAAGAGTAGACTAAGGGTGGAGTTTGCAGGAGTGTTGGGATGAATCTTAGGAAGCCCAGGACCCTGGAAACCTTGGTGCCTCTCTGGTCAAGGAAAAACTTCACAAATGCCTGGTAGAGAACAGGCTGGCTTTGGAAGCCTGGTGACTTCACTACTGGGGAGGGGCCACTGAGATTGGCTCTCACTGGGGACTTTTGACAGGGAAGGGAGAAAGGGGAAAATGGCAATGTTTCTAACTTAAATCTAGAAGTTACTCTTACTGAAGTAGAGGCCTGTGGGAATGGACCTAAAGTAACTACAGAACTAAAGTAACCTATGATGCCCCATTGTGAAGAATGTTTGAGTTTATCCTTTCTTCTTGGACTAGCCCCTACCTCACCCCCACATCCATGTACAGCCTCTTCTGGAACCTTCCACTGACTAAGGTCCAAGTCTTCTTGCCAAACTTTTCAGAGTCTTTCTCTGTAGCCTGGGGCTGGATGCTGAGCCCTGTTCTCCACATAAATGCTGCCTGTAAACTGGGAAGGGAGTGAGGAGGGTGTGGTGAGCAGCATGGTTAATAAATACAACTGTACTGGCCTTGCACTATCCCTGGCAGAGTCCACTCAGGACACAGGCTTCCCGTTCCTCATGCTGCGGATCTGATGTCACAGGAACTGCTTTGGACTTGTGGTAGTGCTTCTCTGCCTTCCTGGAGTCAGGTTCTTGAGCAAGGACAATGGTGATGGACTGTCTGTGTTCCTGCTCATCTTGTTGCTGTGGCTATTTCTGCCCTCCTCTTGACCTGGCTAAACAGACCATTCATCCTCCTGTACTGCTCTGGAACTGTAGCCTCCTCCTTGTCTGCCTCTTGTTTCTTCCCTCTGTCCACTGTGCCAAGCAAGGGTCTCAACAGGGTCCTCCCATAGCCCCTTTCTTGCCCTCTGAGGTCTGCCTGGCAGGTACAGCCTAAACTCCCTACAGGGTGGGGAAGGGAGCCTGGCTGCTATCTGAATGGGAACACATCCTACTCTCCTAGGGTGGAGATTTTGTTTTCCTAGGGGTTGCTAAACTTGATAGATATTGGGAATGGATAAAGCCTGTTTAATAGTCTGTGGGAAAGAAAGGTAAGTGGAAGATGTGGGCAAGAAAGGTTATATTTTTCAGGGGGCTTTACAGGTCCAGTCTCCTTATCTCCCCCCCCCCCCACCACACACATCTCATGTATGTGTGTTCTTGGGTCCATGCTGCAGGAGAACAGGGGTAGACCCCCGGGTGGCCTCTGCCTCTCTAGTTCCTGGACTTTTTTTTCCAGATGAAGACCGGCCCCTTTGCAGAGCACTCCAACCAGCTGTGGAACATCAGTGCTGTCCCCTCTTGGTCTAAAGTGAACCAGGGCCTCATCCGCATGTATAAGGCTGAGGTGAGTGGGGTCTGACCAGCATGCCTGCCCCTGCTGTCACTTAGTCCTGGGGGTGAGTGCAGGACTGCTGATTCTCTCTGAAACTTGGGGACCTCAGAACCTGGTGGGAAGTCACAAGGCACCATGCAGAGGCCCACCTCAGCCCTGCATAGCTTAAGGACTGAAACAGCCCTCTCTGCTAGAGAAGTCAAATGGCTGGAGGCACCTCAAAGCTCTGGTGACCTCAGCGTCTCTCCCAAGGTGACTCGGGCATCCTGGGGTGGGTGTGATCCTAGAGCCACTATCAAAAGTGAGCTAGCCTCCTGTAGAAGGTGACTAGGAAGAGGGTAAGGTCAGAGGTGGTCACTGGCATTCCTCAGTGGGAAGGGTAGGGTGTAGGTGTTCTCCCTGCTGTCAGCTTACAAATCTGCTTCTGGGAAGGACCTTCTGGGAAGCTCACCCTGCTAAAAGGTATCTGCCCTCACATGCTGTCCTCCACATCATCCTGCCTGTCTGTGCTGGCTCCTCCCACAGCTTGAAGAATCACTTGTCTTTGACCTTGTGAAGTCCCTCTGCCGCCCCCCACCCCCCATCTCACTAACAGCCTCTCAAGTATTGCCCTGCAGCTGCCCATCTCAGATTCTTGACATTATCCCTTCTTTTCTGGAGAAATCTGCTTCACTGCGCTCAGAGCTCACCCCATTCATCATCAGAGGCAGGACAACGGGGAAGAAGGGTCTAGAAGCCAGTTGGATTTGGTAGTGCAAATGTTTCCCTCTGGCCTGGCACCCTTGAATTGGCCTTGAAGGGGTTAATAGAACATGGTCTGACCAGGTCTGGGCCATGGCCTGGCCAGCTTTCTTCTGTTCTTCCTCTAGCCTTCACATCCTATGTTTAGGCTTCAGCCCACATAGCTCTCATCTGGGAAGTCATTCCTAGAGCTGCCCAGACTTTTACCTGCCAGCTCCAGCACCTGGGCGCTACCCTTGGTCCTGTCTCCACAGCCTTACTCCTGCTGATTCCCAGTGGGAAATATAGACGAGGCCACTCCACTTCTGGCCCAGACCACTGCTGGGGAGTGTCAGCATGGGTGGTGTACAGCTCCCCTCATATCAAAGGCAGCACTCCAGCTGCCTCCTTGTTTAGAATCCTAAATGCTGCTGGCCTTGTGTGTCTTCAAACCTGTCTTGATTTGGCCTCCTAAGGGGAGGGCCAGCAACTCTACCCTCCTTTCAGAGACAGAAGATCTGCAGGCTGAGGGAGGAGCAGATGAGATACAAAATGGTGGCATGACACAGGGGCCTTGGCACCCTTGACCTGAGGGGTTGCTAGGTATCCCTGGTTGTTGACTGAGAGGTGGGTGTCACTGACATTCACCTGGTGTGTGCGGCAGATGGGAGCTGACCCCTCCTTGGCTTAGGCTCCCTATCACCAGGGCTGCATTTGTAGTGTAATTCTGCAACTTGCTGACAGGTGTGAGGACCTAAAGGCTTTGTAGTACCCAGTTCTTTTTTTTTGTGGGTTTTTTTTTGTGTGTGTGTATGTGTCGGGGGGGGGGGGGGGGGGGGGGGAAAAAAGGGGTTTTTTTTTGTACCCTCATGTAGCCCTGGGTACCCTGAAACTCACTCTGTACACTAGACTGTCCCCAAACTCACAGAAATCTACCTGCCTCTGCCTCCCATGTGCAGGTAGTAAAGGCGTGCGCCACCAGTACCCAGTTCTTATTGGTGCTTTTATCTCTGTTCCTGAGAATGTGGGGCTATAAGCCCCTGCTCAGAGGGCCCGGAAAATGACCACTTTCTCAGCCCAGTTCTCTATCTTTAGGGAAGGCCCCATGAGGCTCACAAGGCTGTGGCCCCTGAGTTGCCAACAGAAGCCTGCTGAGGCCTGGCCTTAGCCAGTCTCAGTATAGTCAATTAATGTCAAGTTGCCTGGCCTGGTTTTTTGAAGAGAAGTATCAGGGACTTTCTGGGCCTTGTGTGGTGGGGGTCTTTCTGTCCTGAAGGCTGTCACTGTTCCTGGAGAGTCCTACCTCCTTGAATCACAGACCACCCAGTCTGGACTCTGCTGGGCTCAGGAGGTGACAGGGTTCTGAAGGCCAGACACAGTAGCTGGCCAGTATTGCTGGAAAAAAGACCCTCTTCGATACTTCTCCTGCGCTGGGGTCTTGGGCTTCTCCACCTCTGCAGCCTCTCTCCAGCTCAGGTTCTGCTTATCCCTTGCAGAATGGGGATGATCTCTGCCCTTCCCCCACTTGCCTTTCTGGCTTCTTTTCTGTGAGAGCTTGAGGCGGGTTGACCTTTGACCCTTTCTGGAATTCCAGGCCCTGGGGGGCGGGGTGACTTCCAAGCTCCCATCACTTCCTGATGACATAAGCACCATGGCAGCTGCCTTGCCTCAGGCCTGGACATGTTGCCCCTCCCCCAGGTACTTGCCTCACTCCCCTTCTCCCCACTTTCTTTGGTTAGGCCTGGCTTCATATTTGAGTTTAGTCTCTGTCCTGTTTGGGCCCCTTGTACTTGTTCTGAAGCTGGTTTCTGGGGTGAGGGAAGGTGAGCCAATCAGGTTACTCCTTTGACCACAGCCAGAGTGAGGCCTTTCCCTCCTCTGAGTCCCTAAGTCTGGTTCCCTACAGTACTGAGAGTTGTTTCTGAGATCAAAGTATAGGAGGAAGTCAGGCTAGCCCGGCAGACCCCATCCTCACACCCTGGCTGGATCTACTGCCTGGGAGAGAGTGAGCCAGTGATGGCCTGTGGCCAGGCAAGGGATGGAGGGCTATGGGCCTGGGGTCAGGCTGCCCGTGGGTCTCCACTTCTCCTTGGCAGGGGTCTGAACTGGGCTCAGGGAGTTCCCTATCCCTTTGCCTATCATCAGTGCTATTGCCCTGACCTCCACAGTGGGGGCTGCTAAGGTGAGACAGAGGTGTCAGCCTGCCCACTCCTGTTGTCTCACTCTAAAGAGACCCAGAGACTACAGAAAAAGGCCCAGGCCTCTTCTCAGCTGGGTTCAGATGTCCCCACATCTCCAGGGTCTGGTGGGTGGGGGTTGTGTGTGGGGTGTGGGGTCTTTTCTTTTCTTTCTTTCTTTTTTTTTTTTTGGTTTTTCGAGACAGGGTTTCTCTGTGTAGCTTTGGAGGCCTGCCTCTGCCTCCCGAGTGCTGGGATTAAAGGCGTGCGCCACCAACGCCCGGCCTTGTGTGGGGTCTTTTCTATCTCTTATGCCCAGCTTCCCCTCTGGGTCTACCGATATCTCTCAGATGCCTGTCTTGGCTTCTACTGTGTGTGTATGGGCGTGGGGAGGGTAGGACAGGGTGAACAAGTGTCACCCTTCCTTGTACAGGCCAGGAGCTGCTCTGAATGGCTCTCGAGTATTAAGGGATAACCCATAGAAGTGGCTTCATTTGAATGCTTGTTTGTCTTAGTCCCTGGGATGCAAGAGGCCAGCTAGGCCTCACCTCCTGGTCTTCCCCTCCTTCCTCAGTGCCTGGAGAAGTTCCCCGTGATCCAGCACTTCAAGTTCGGGAGCCTGCTGCCCATCCATCCAGTCACATCAGGCTAAGAGAGGCTGAGCCACCAGAGCCACCCTGGCCAGGTTCCTGTGCCCTCTGACCCGGCACCCCTCCCACCCTCCTTCTGTTCTTTCTGTTTGATGAGAGGCTGTTTACTGAGATGGGTGCTGAGCAGGGCCTGAGTTGAGTATTGACCAAAGTGTGGCCAGTTTTTGACTGTCCGTCTGGTGGGCAGACAAGAAGAGGGGGTGGGACCTGGTCCCAGGGCCCCTGCCCACCTCTGTCCTCCCTGCTTCCTCTCTCTCCTGCCTAGGCCTGTGTGGAGACAAGGGCATCCTGCTCTTCCCATTGCTTTCCCTTTCCCATGATGTGACTCCTCCTTCAGAGAGGCAACGGACGCTGCCCCTCCAGGGCTAGCTGGTCAGCTTCCCACCTGCTTGAGCTGTGTTCCACTGGTGTCTGCCTTGGGGCTGGAGGGTGAGGCTATCAGCAGCTGTGGGGAGGGATGGGATGGGGGGTAATGGTTGGTAGAGGGGCTATGGATGATGAGGTTGGCCTTCTTGAGGCCCCAAGGGTAGCTGTGCCCATCCTCATTCTGGCTTTTGTTCCCTGGCCCTTGGATTTGCCAGGTTTCCTGACTATTATCGTAAAGTTCCCCATGCTGGGATAGCCTCATTATGGAAGCTGCCCTGGGCCCCTGGGAAGCCTGTGGATTGGGTGAAGCCGATCTTTCCAGAATTGTCTCTTGCAGGGAGAGAATGGTAGAGGCACTGGGGCTATTGTGTTTTTGGAGAGCCTGGTTTCCTCCAGTTAGTCTTAGGCCTGACCAGTTCTGCTACCTCACCCCCTGCTTTGAGTGGCTTTTAGCTTCACCTGAGGCCCTTGCTTCTTGCTCTGCTCCCTTGGTAGGTTTGTGGCTGGTGTGAGATGGCAGGGAAGGCAGCAGCCCTCTTTCTCCCTCTCCCCTCTTAGGGGCTGAGGTAAGCAGTGCCCTGCACCAGGGCACAGACTCAGAACAGGTAGAACTGCTGAGGGGAACCTAGCCACAGTCAGCAGTTTTCTCCCAATGCTATGGCTGAGCTGGTACCTGCAGGCTTTCCTGCCACACTCATCCTGTCCTGCACTACCCATCCTGTGTGTGTGTCCACAAAGCCTTTGGGGGTTGGACACTGAGAAGCACAACCCAAAGGCTTCGCTTAGCGATGATCTGGACAGAGCTGGGACTCAAGTCATCAGTGTCACAGGCAGTTTCCAGGGGAAAGGCCATCCTTTCCTTCCAGGGCCAGGCCATCGCCTTCCTGGCTCCCTCCCCTAGTCCTGCACCTTCCTTGCTATTTGGATTAAAGCCTCTTGTTTTACACCTGTCCCCTGTGTGAGACATCTTTTCTGGACATGTCTGAGTGACTATTCCCTAGCAGGTCTCCTCCCTATCAGTTGACTTTCTGCGAATGGGATGTGTGACTGTGATTCAAACAGACAAGAGGGTTCAAATCCCAGCTGTCCTTCTTCTCACTCCAGCAGCAATTACAAGTGGTGCTGGTGACCCCAAATCAAGGGATGTCACATAACATATGCTGTGTTGTCACTGTAGCAGTGTGTGTGTGCCTCCTGCAGCTGCTTTGGACTCCTGTCAGCTCTATCCCTAGTTGTTAGGTGTAGCCTTTTCTTCTGAACCCCACCCTTCTGATCTGTTGATGCTAAGGTTGAGTATGGCTGTACAGTGAAACTCCTTAGACACCTGAAAACAAGGCTTTCTGCTGGTCCTGGAGGCTTTGCACAGAGGCAAGAAGAGGAGCCTCAGCCCAGTGCCCTTGCTCTTTCTCTGGATACCCTTGTTGCCCAAAGCCTAGTCTCTGGAGTCCAGTACATTGGAGTTCAAACCCAAGGTCAGCTGCTTACGATGGAGGTGATCCACTTCACCTCTCGGAGATTCCGTCTCTTGGCTTGAAAAACAGGCATAATGTATCATGATCTAGAGCAGTGATTCTCAACTTTCCTAACGCTTTGACCCTGTAATAGTTCCTCCCATTATGGTGACCCCTCGACCATAAAATTATTTTTGTTTCTACTTCGTAATTAATTTTGCTACTGTTATGAGTTATAATGTAAATATCTTGTGTTTTCTGATAGTCTTAGGTGACTCCTGTGAAAGGGTCATTCAGCCCCAAAGGTGTTTCGACCCACAGGTGGAGAACCACTGGTTTAATGTCTCATTTGTTTCACAGGCAATAGCTGTGTATTTGTGACCACAGCATACCAGAAAAGGACAGCAGTATTTAGTGGATTGTGATTAAGAAACTAATAGGGGGTGATGCTTTAGTTACACACAGGCATGTACAAACTGTGTATCTTAGTTGGGATTTCTGTTGTTGTGAAAAGGCACCATGACAATGACAGCTTTTTAAAAATTCTTTTAAATTTTATTTTACATTCCAACTACAGTTCTCTCCCACCCCTCCTCACACTCCCCCTTACCTCCCCTGAGCCCACTCCCAGTCCACTCCTTGATGGTAGGGCTCCCACGAGGAGTCAACAAAGTCTGACACAATAGATTGGGGCAGGGCCAAGCCCCTCTCCCATGCATTAAGGCTGAGCATGGCATGGGCTCCAATAAGCTAGCTCATGTACTAGGTTTGTATTGTGGTCCTGCTGCCAGGGGTCCCTTTGATAGTTCAAGCTTCAGAACTGTCTCCCACATACGGAGGGCTTAGTTTGGTCCCCTGGAATCTCCACAGTTGTAGGTCTAGAGTTCATAGTTCCCACGAGCTTGGGTCAACTGTCTCTTTAGATTTCTCCATCATGATCTTGACCTCCCTTGCTCATATGTTCCCTCCTCCCTCTCATCTCCTGGATTCCCAGAGCTCAGCCTGGTTCTTGGTTGTGGATCTCTGCGTCTGGTTCCATCAGTTACTGGATGAAGGCTCTCAGTCCTCTCTGTGCAGTAGATGTCTGTGTCTCAGGGAGCCCCTCGACAGCAACAGCTCTCATAAAGAAAACATTTCACTGGGGCTGGCTTACAGATCCAGAGATTTAGTCCATTACCAACGTGGTGGGAAGCATGGTGGTGACAGGCAGACATGATGCTGGAGAAGGAGCTCTATATCTGGATTGGCAGGCTTCTGAAACCTCAAAGCCCACC